TTTAATGGGGGGAAAAAAAATGAAAAGAGAAGTTTACAATTTCAGGCAAAAAGGATTTACTTCTTATATTCAGATACAAAACTATAAGAGAGATTGTTCCTTATTAAAAAAAGAAAGAAAGAGGGAATATATTTTATTATTTTTTGTCAAATTATTTAACTAACATATAAAATATTTTAAAAAAACATTTATTATAATTAACTAATGATATAAACAAATTAATTGAATTAATTAAGTAGCTTTTCTATCGATAACGGGGGAGGATATCATCATCATTTAACCAAAATTTATACTTGGTTTCATTGGACAGTGAATGTTGGCAGGCAAACTAACCTCTCCATCTAAATTAGATTAGCCCCATAGTACTCTCAAATCCCATATATATAGATTAACCCAATCTAAGTAGCAAGTAATCGCTCATACTAAATACCTTTTAACATATTTTTTTAATCTTAACCACAATCATTACCTCTTATTTTCAAATGCTTCCCGACCTATGTTCAATTGATGAAAGGGACTTGGCATTCCTTTCAAGTCAGTGGACACTGAAGTGAAAGCCGGCACTACTTGAAGCAAGCGTGCTGATCTGCATGGCATGTCGCTTGCAGCTGTGATGCCCCACCGGAGGAATGGAACGAATAGATCTTGTTTTGAAGCTAAGGAGGATTAGAGGTTAGTTAGGCCGCATATGAAGTCATAATCAATGCATCCAGTCTTTTCACTTTATGCCTTTTTGAAAATTAGGGTAGGGTGTTTTTGTCTAAAAGGTTGGTTAGTGACATAATACAATGACATGAGAGGATAATCCAGCTAGGAGTGGAATAAGACTTCTTGTTGTAAATTCACGATCTTCCTGTCTCTTTAGCAGTAACATGTCTCTTTACAGTGCTCTATGGGTAAGGAGAGAAGTCGGAAAAAAGAAAATGGGAGCAAGATAAAAATGAGGGAAAATGATATTTATTTTTAGTTTACAAGAACCCTTTAATTTATATGGTACAACTGCACTTGAAATATTTGGAGTCGTGTCCTTTGTCCTTGGCATTTGGACAGATTGCAATTAAATAATTCGTTAGGCACGTCACTAAAAATCTTGGACGGTGAATCACAATGGATTCAAATGCCAGTTGATTTGCAAGTGATTGCAATCAAGTGAACTTTTCACTCTGTTTAGAGCTTCCTGTCTCTGCTGCAGCAATGCAAGTGATGAATCATCAATCTGCTTATTTTGCCTTTTCCGGGGAACTTTCTTGACGAAGCTTTCCATTTTGATTCAAACATACAAGCTAAAATGGGGGAAACAAACAAAATATTCAACCAAAAAAAAAAAAAAGAATTATATTGAATGCTGCAAATTATACAGAGGTTAAACATAAAAATACGACAATAATATCTTGAGTTTGAATATCTCAAAATAGCGGGACTAGAGATTTCAGAAAGGACCTGACTCAGTTGAAATTTTCCAAGGTATTATCCGGTTTTCGATGAATATACTAGCATGCATTAAGGAATTTTCTGAAACATTTAAGCATGTGATGCAGAGCGTCTAAAAACATCTACTTGTTATGCTTTTACTGGAAATGCGAACAATTAAAAGCAATATTAAAAGAACTTCATTACAAATGAATGTTTAGATGATTAATAGAGCTATCAACATGACTAAAAATATTAGGTCACTGGAAATTTTTGTCAAAGCTCAAAATGAATCAATTCATGGTTATCATCTAGCATAGGATTGAGGGTTGCATGATGTATGAAACTCGGAAATATTCCCTTCAGCAAAGTTAACACATCATTGAAGTTCACCAAACATATTGCATGATTAGAATTTTAACACCGAAAGAATAGAAAGTAAAATCAGACAAATTTGCTCTCCGCTTTCGTTTTCAAATGTGACAACTGGAGTTCACGTTGATCAGTGACAAAAGCCAATGGGATGAACATGCTAAAAGCAACTGAATAGCATTCATCTCATTCTTCTCAAGAATATTAAGAAAGTATGGATTTTACAATTAATAAATAACTACTATAGCTATCAGCATTCTTGATCATCGAAAGTTTTTATATAAGCTTCAAGGTAAGCAGCAAATCAACATTTTCTTTTCTCCAGAACACGTAATTAGATGCAAATAAAAATAAAAAGCAAACTAGATATATACCTTCACTTCTGTCTGTAAAACCACAAATGATGCATGCACAGATCCATGGCCTGCCGGCACGGGATGCTTTTGCACCCCCTTTGATTTCACCATTATGTTGCTTCAAACTACATCCATTAAGATATGTACATCAATATATATATTTCTTGAAATCCATGACATACTTTGATGTCATTTCTTTTTTTTTTGAGCTGAACTGTGATGTCATTTCAAAATTCTAAAAATTGAGAAGAAAGCAGAATTAGGCATTAGCTACACAATTTTTAAAAAATTAATTTAAAAAAAAAAAAAAAACAGCAGTCTATCAATGCCATACAGGAAAGTATTAATTCACTTTTAATCAGCTGAATTGACTTGCTGACAGCTGGAGTAACATGTAAAAGGATAGCTTTTGCACCCTATAAGTATATTCTTATGTAGATACCAAATTCGATATCCTAATCACAGAAGCAAAAGTCAGTCTAACAATTCAAAGCTTCCACTTCTGGTGAGAAGCAGAAAGAGAGAACCTCAATTCCATCATAATTATGTATTATGCACCAAAAGCATCTTTGATGATTCTGAACTAGTCTTCCTTCAGCATTAAGTCGTTGCTCTTGTTTGCTCATCCCCTTTCAGTATTAATGAACTTTTTATCCTCTGTACCATTTTGCATCTGCTTCTGTTCCCTAAATTTTGCATTTTTGACAATCCCTATGCATGACTTAACAAACAGTTTTCACTTGACATGCAATGTTAATAATCCAGTGCAAACTTACTAATGACATTAGCTAATCTTGGTACTCAGGTTCCATTGGCAACAGGGCAGCATTGCAGATTATATGCCGTGCACTCTTCAGTGCTAACTAAATTTGCCAGTCCTGTATTCTTTGCTCTCCTGCAATGTTATTAAACAGTGCAAACGAGTCACTTCCAGGGATCTCACTGGCAAAATGTAGGCTCTCGATCATTCTCAGTCCATTTGCTAAAGTAAGTGGTTATGGTTGATTGTAACATAGGTGAACAATGGATCCTGGCTAGATCTTGGCTTTATAATCTCTAGGGATACTTGTTCTAGATGAAGAATTTTCTTCAGCACACAAAGCTCCATCCATATTTTTCAGCAACAAACAACCTGATATATTAAGTAATTAACTATGTCAAAAGCATGGGGAAAATACACTGGATTTGGTGGCTGTTTCCAAGAACATAGGATCTACTATAAAACTTGGCAAAAGGTTCAGAAATATCAGTATCACACTGGTTGGCACGAGCTAGGAAAAAAAAATGAACTTGTAAAAATAAAATTTAGAGCAGCTAGTAAGTACTAAGTAGTAAGAATTGCTCCAAGTAATCAAGACCACAAATAACCATAGAAGTTTCTTAATTTTTGGATGAATCGTTAAAATTAAAATCAAACCAACTACTCGAAAACAGCAAGTATATACAACTTCCAAATGTACAAAATTTTAAATATTGATAAGGAGATGTGCATGTATGTCTATCCCCAATTCCCAATTGAAACAGACAGCTTTATTGGTGTCAAAAACTGCTGTTTCCATAACGAAACATAATTTTTAAGCATGCCACATATATCCTATAAAAGTTACAAGTTCCATCAAAAAGGCATTGTATTCTTCTACAACCATTCTTTGCCAACTCAAACCAAAAATAGTTATTTCATGGAATCAGCACTTCACACCTAAATTCTTCATACGGATTCTAAGCCCCAGAAATAATCTGATTACCAGGTAGACAAAACGTGCTCATTCAAGCACGATCCATTTCATCTCAGATATACTCAACAATACTTGTGTGCTGAATTCATGAAGCCTAATATAATTATAATTTATGAAAATAATACTATGCCCATTGAACCTCGAGAAATCCAAGCTAAATGCACATTGAGCACAAAAATCATTTGTCAAATAGCCCAAAACATCATGAAATCAAAAGACTTGATATTGAACATACCGGCGAGTGAAATTAGTCGTGACACCAACATAGGTTTTGACGGGGGGACTAGTGGCAATGATGAGATAAACACACCAAGAGCATGATTTGGAATTAAGCCTCAATTCGGGAAGTGAATTCGAAACAGGAGATGATGAGGATGATGAAGATGGGGAAGAAAATTTGGGCGAATTAGGGTTAGCAATTGGGTGCTTAACAGAGCGAAATGTATTAGACAACGCTCTCATCATACAGATCAACTACCTTAAACGGGTTAGCTTTCCCGTTTCAAAGAATGGGAAAATTGTTGTCGTTATTGTCCTTCACCTTGTTCGTTGACGGCTTGGCGCCTCCATTGCTCTGCTAAAAATTAGGAAAAATTACTGGAAATTTGCACTGAAGAAAAATAGCCCCCCAACAAAAAAGTCTCTTTAATTTCAAAATCTCAAATAATAATTCTTACAAAAATTATCATTTACTTTTCAAAAGTAGTTAATTGCTGTTAAACTATCAAAATATAATAAATAAGCCTAATTTAGAGCTTTGAAAGTCAAGAGATATTTTTTAAGAATTTTTCCAAAGAAAATCTCTACTTGTTCACTTGTCATAATTTTTTTATAATCACACTTTTTCTCACAAATTTTACAATTCATTTTTAAGAAGTGATTTATATTTTATATTAAATATTATAATGACATTGAATGATTTTGTGAGTTAACAATACTCAACATCTCATCTAATGATAAGAGTTAAAAAAAAAAATAACCCTTGTACTTTGTAAAGAAAAAACATTTACTCCCTCCATTTCATAATAAGTACTATAATTTTAAAAAAAAAAAACTTATTTTTCAGGTTTCTTTCATTCAGGGAGTGTTTGGATGCCCTTAAAATCACTTTTCAGAAGCACTTTTCCGCAAATCGAGACAATCTCCTCCACATATTTGCTTCGTATACCGTAAAAGCACTTCTGAAACCATGGTTTGATCTTATCCAAACACCCCCTCAATCTTAAAGGGGAACATGATTGAGAAGCATGGGTATTGTGCCATAGCACAAAACAAAATTATAAAGAAAAATTAATGTTTTGATTTTTACATTGTGGTTGTTAAGTTTTGATTTTGTATTATTCAATCATTTAACTTATTGCAGTTCAATCTCTATAATTGTAACCATTTAAAATTTTAACACCTCATAAAATATATAATTTTTTAAAAATATAAAAACTAATGATTGAGTTTCATGAAATTAAAGTTCATAAATTCAGTTGCACCAAGACAAATGAAACTTAGAAAAGCCAAACGTACTTGTCATGCCTGGCCAATGCCCAGTGGCGTGGGTATTAAATAGACAGAAACAACAACAGGCCACTTTTAAGTTTTAAAGTTCCCTACATCAGACAAGCAGTAGTGTGCCCCGCATTATCCTTGCCCATAAATAGAGGAGGTCCAAGAAAGAAGAAAGTGTAAAAATGCCCCCAAAAACGTTTTTTTTTTAAAAGAAAAAAAGATTATATGCTGTGGACGAGAGAAGAGAGGAGGAGTATAAATAACTATTGATGACTTGCCTTAGTGTTTTTCACAGATATATTGACATTGAACGGAACAAAGAAAAATTTAATTCTTCTAATGCAATCGATTAAAAGGGTGTTTGAAAGCACATAAACTTTTTTATATATTTATTTTGTATACTGTAAAAATATTTTTAAAATTTTGATTTTAATCCTATCCAAACGTCCTTATACGGGGCAAACACGTTTTATCCAAACGAATTGGGACACACACAAATTTGTTGTTATGCGTGTTCTTAGATATGGAATCTTTTAGTATCCAATTATGGAATCCAGTTCTTAAGTGCCACCCCCTCTGATAGAAAAAGGAAAAACTTTAATTAGCAATTGCCATAATAATTTAATTAAAATATCTTTCATAGAGCTTCGGGGTCAGCCCAACTGTAGTTTAGCGGAAAATCTCAATCAACAAGTTACGCTTCTTTGACGAGAAGTATAGAAGAATCCAGGATCCAGGAACAGAGGCATAGCGATTCAGATTTCTGGAGGTGCTTCTTTGGGCCTAAAGTAGCAGATTTTCGCAGTTACCATGATTACTGTATATGGTTGTGCTTCAAATTTATAGCTTATTCAACGATTTGTACCTTTCTTTTGGCTCTTCTCTCTGATTCCGATTCTAATTTCTGGTGTTCATAATCTGTCTGTCTTCGCGTCCCAATTTTTGCCCGGATTCTCTAACCCCAGTTGTTATTTCAATATCAAAAATTAGCCTTTCTTCTCGATTCTGGATTATAGTGGGGAGAATCCATCTGGGTAATCTATAAATTGTTAAATTAAGCTGATTCTGAAATCTTAGGCCATGAATATCTAGATTGGGCTTGATGTTTCACGTATCTTTTAGAGATAGTGGCTTCGTTTCATATGTTCTTTAGGACTACAGAAATGCTTCTTTGAATATATTCTTGAATATTATCAACTGGAGACAATAATCGGTTTCTGCTTTATCTGAGTTGGTGCCAGTAACGTAAAGTCAAAATCATTTGCGAGTTCTTTGCATTTGCCTTGACTTTAAAATTGGATGTTGCAGATATTCTCTTCTGTCGATAAGCCACTGCAATATCATTCAAAGCAAATAAAGGAAATATGAATGATGGAGATGTTGAGCTTTCAGATGGTTTCTTATTGTCGAATCCAGAATCGTCGAGCAATGTTCAGTCTTCAACATCCATGAATAAAATCAATGAATTCTTGAGGAACACCAGAACATGCACCCATACTCACACTTGCAACCCTCCTGGCCCAGATGCAGCACATACCCACACATGTTACCACACACACACCCAAGTCATTGCGTCTGAAGAAGATGATCATACAGATGATAAGGAGCATACCAACACAAAACGAAAACGGCCTTCGGGTAATAGAGAAGCTGTTCGAAAGTATAGGGAGAAGAAGAAGGCACAGACAGCTTACCTAGAGGAGGAAGTTAAGAAATTGCGTCTGCAGAATCAGCAATTAGTTAGGAAGCTACAAGGGCATGCACATCTTGAAGCTGAGGTTTTGAGGTTGAGGAGCATCCTGGTTGACCTCAAGGGAAAAATTGACAATGAGTTGGGTGTTTTCCCCTATAAAAAGCAGTGTAATGGCTCTTCCTCAATCTTTAAAGAGGGGCACACCAACATGCTGCCCACGGACCGCGGGACTGATCTTCAGTGTCAGACCAATTTCCAATGCTTTGATCAACAGGCAGGATTATCATCTCAGGTTGGTACCTGTGGAAATGAAAATTTTATGATTCCATGTGAAGGGAACTGTGAACCTCTAGCCGTGAATTGTCAAGGTAACACGAATAACATATCAAATACTGAGGGGCAAGTTGTGGACTCAGTGGATAACTTGATGTCATCTGCATCTCAAGATAAGTAATCAATCATACGGACATATCTTCTGTGAGTTCTTTCTTGTTACATTCTTGTCGTTACCTTTTATCTGTGTTGTTGAGGTGGGTGATGCATTTCATAGTTAGGATAATCATAAAAGCTTTCTGTGAGGGGATTTGCCCAAAATAGTTTGATGACGATAGAATCTTGTATCTAAGACTGATGTGGTTGTAAATTTTGTATATTTATACCAGGCATCACAAAAGGAAACAACTTTTTTTTTGTGTTGTTTTTCCTCAAAAGAACAAGGAAGAGACCTTCATGAGTGTGTCAAGTTTTTGTTACTGAAGACACTAGTACTCTTGTGCAGTTGCAACTGCAAGATGCCCTGATAATGTGCCGTTGTTGATCTCATCTTAAAGTATTAGTAATATGATACTTGTTTGACATTGAATAGAGTTCACGTTTTGCATAGAATTGAGATCTTCGCACTTTGTTCTTAAG